GGGATTAGCAGGCACTCTGGGGGTAGGATGTCCCAGGCCTGGGACAGCTAATCCTTAATGCCTCACTGGAGATTTTCAATGAGAAATTCATCCCACGACCCTCACGGCTGGGGCCTCTGTCCCCGAGAGGTAAATATCGTCCATGCGAGGAGATTTCGTGCAGTCGAGGGGAAAAGAAGGATCCCACTGGGAGGGGTGGGGCGGGAGGGGGCTGACAGCTCCTCTTACTGGGATGACTCAGATCAGCCAACCTGAACCTCACGCAGCCTCCCCACCCCCACCAAGTCGCCTCCTACATTGTAGTTACTATTACTGATTACTGCCCTCACAGCTGCTGTTACCATGTGCCGTGTACTAAGCCTCTCACGTGCGCTATTCCCCCTCACACCTACAGCACACCTGGGAATAACCCCCACTACTGGCCCCATTTCACAGAGGAAGAGCCTGAGGCTTGGTTAGGTGAAGTCCCCTGGCCCCGATCACACAGCCAACAGCTGGCAGAGGTATGGATTTGCCTCATATCTATCCAACCTCAAGGCCGGGCTCTGACCACCACCCGCAGAGCCCCCTTGACACACGTTTGGTTTACCAGGTTCTTGTTCACCTATTATGCCACTGAGATCCGGACAGAAGTGTTCACCCCATGTTATAGATAAGCAGCTGAGGCCTGGGGCCAACACCAGGTCTGCAGTCCCCACACCATAGGTACCCCCCTGGGCTGTGTTTCTGGGGTGGGGAAATCTCTCATGAGATTTCAGCACAGCCCTAGGCTCTGTACCCCACATTTGAGGCAAGAGGCCTCAGCTGTTTGTGGAACCTGCAGTCAGGCAGCCAGGGTCCGGTGGGCCACGGGTGAGGCCACAGCAGGGCTCTGACAAGCTGAGCTCTTGGGTCCTGGCCGTCCTCTTCTCTTTTGTGCCCCAGAACGTCTGTCCCTCTGTCCTGGTCACAGGCATACCAAGGACAGTATGGGGCCCTCCAGGCCCTTGAGAGCTGCCATGGGTAGCAGAGGGGCAGAGTCCCTGAAGCCCCGAACTGTGCCAGCCTCCCCCAGCCTAATGCACGTGGGCACCCTTGTTTCCCTGTGCTGTTCCGGGTTGGCACGGACCCAACACACCAGGCGTTACAACCAACTTAAACAGCAGCGGCTGAGAGAGAAAGAGGACATTCAAGATCAAGGCTTCAGTGCACCAGCAGGCCTCAACTTGAAGGAGGTAGAAGGGTCTTCCCTAAGGCCCAAATGTCCAGTTTCTGTTTTTTGGCAGACCTGGGCAAGTCACCTCCTTCTCTGAACCTCAGTTTCCTCAACTGAAAACCTGCTTCACAGAGTCATCAGGAGGACAAAGGGCAAAAGTTTGTCTAAAGCACCAAACACTGTCTACACCTCCGGGCGTGGGCCCTGGGGAAAAGACGGGCACGACTCTCTGCTGCCCTCTGGAGGTTGCACAATGAAACAGCAGTTCTCACTCAGGTGAAAGCACAGATCAGGTTTGTTTCCCAGCTCTGCCCTTTCTAGTCTACATGGCCCTGAGCAAATCGTCCTTCCCCTCTCAGTCTTACTCTCCTCATCTGAAAAAACAAAGACATAAACAGCCCCTGTAAGGTTGTTGAAGGATGGAACACGATGAGACGGGAAGAGCCCCTGGTACGCAGCTGCTATTATCAACACTCTGCTCTTGTGGAGCCATGCGTCTGCAGCCACTCTGTAAAGTGAGTGCACATTGACTATGGAGGGATGAGGGTGATGTCTAGGCTGAGCTGTGGCTCCAGAGATGCTGTGGACCAACGCTTGTAGGACTTGAGGAAGGCACTGTTGACACACCCAGCCCAGCTGTTCCCACCTCAGTGGACCAACCCCGGGCAGCCTGCACACAGGCTCCACCCCTGAGCCCCTGACCCAAACTCTCTAGGGGGAGGACTCAAGCATTTGTATTTTTTTCTTTTCTTTCTTTCTTTCTTTTTTTTTTGGAGAAGTTTTTGCTATAGAGTACATGTGCTTGCCAGCAAGACAGAGAGAGACAGAGAGACAGAAAGGGAGAAACACCCCCCCAAAAGGATAGCCATGCCACAATCCCTTCTCCTCCATTCTCCTTTTGGGATCTTGATCTCAAACACACATACTCCCAGCGTGAGTTTAAGTTGCCGGGTCCAGGACTCAAACCATGGTTGACTACATGGGAGTCCAGCGACATAGCCAACACGCCAACTGCTGGTCCCACATTTGTATTTTCAACAAGGTAATTTTGCTTAATTTTTTAAAAAAGGCTATTGCCCCAAGTAGAACATTTCAGCAAAACTTAAAAACAAGCAATGAATGGAGGAAAGTAAGTGGGGTTCTAGGTCACTATGTAGCCTGCGTGAGTGTTTCTCCATCTCTGGGTCACAGGCTACTCCAACTTCCCAGCATGGAGGTTGATGTGCTGGCCCTCCACCCCCCCCACACACACACACACCTTGATGGTGGTGATTCTTCGAGTGGCTGTGAGAGCCACAAGCAGCGGTCAGGAAGGACGAGCTCTATGTGAGTCCACAAATGCACAAGCCACAACTGCTGTAGTCTGACTGCAGGGTTCCGACTCACTAGTTTAAGCAAAAGACAAACAAAAGGGGAAAAGGGTAAAATTGTATTTGAGTGGGAAACTCTGGAGGTGCGTGTGGCTTCAGGCATTGCTGGATCCAGGCACTCAAAGGATACTTTTCTCATTTCTTTAGTATGGGCTTCATGCTCATGGGTTTTGCCAGTTACACAAGAATTTTTAAAGGTAAAAGCATACTCGGGCAGTCTGTAGAGACTCAAGTTCCCCTTTGTGGGTAGAGCGCTCCTTCATTCAGAACGGTCAGGAACTAACGCGATTCTTTAGAAGTTCCCCAGTGGTAGGCACAGTGTTCTCCCTAGGAGTCCAGCTTGTGCTGTCTTGACCTCACATTCTGTGCTTGTGTGTATGTAAGCATGCACACGTGTGTATGTGTGAACACGCGATTCAAGAGCTCCACACACACTATCAGGAGCAGGGTCTGGAAGACCCAGGAAGAAGTGGAGCATGGTCTCTCCCCACTTGGCAGACTGAGCGTCCTAGAACGGACTTGGCTCCCCAGTGCGTTAGCCCCGGAAGGGGCCAGGCAAAGCCCTGTCTTCACGTGAGCGAGGCTGCAGAGGGCCACCCTGAGAATGTGGGTCTTTAGAAAGCAGGTGCTTTGAGCTGCCCATGAGAGGATAGGTCCTCTGCCTGCTTCACAGCTTTGTGCCTCCTCTCAAGGCTCATTCCCGGGGGACAAGAGCTTCTAGTTAATGTCACAAAAGAGCTTGGCCATGAGATGTGGCTGATGCCAGAAGGAGGAGCTGGCTTTGTGCTGGAAGTGACCTGTGCTAACAACCAGCAGCTGGTACCAGCCCCTGCGGTTCCAACAGGGCAAAGTGGGGGTGTTAGGAAGTAGGGAGGGTGGAAGAGGGAAAAGACAAGAAGCCTTGGGGGGGGGAGAAGATAGCCAGGTGGGATGGCTGGACTCAGGTAAAAAGGAAATCTGTGGGCAAGAGTCACAAAAAAACCGCAATCTTTGAATGATAGGCCTACAGAAACTGAGAAGCGTGGCTCACAGGTACCATGGGATCCTGGCAGTCAGGCAGGCTTGGGGAGTAGTGAGCCCCCGGCATTGTAATATTCACACTGAGGCTGGCTCCATCCATGAGAGGGGTTGCAGAGGGACTCAGATGCCAGAGAACAATTGGGGAGAATGACCTCTCAGGCTACTGAGTCTGACCCTGTGGACCACAATTCTAGCCCCATCTCTGTCCCTGTTCTGTGAGATGACCTCAAGTCAGTGGCCTCCCCTCTCTGAGCCTCAGTTTCCAAATGATGGCAGTTAGACTGGGTGACCACTATGGCCCCACGAAAACATTCTCAGCCTTCTCCCCACCCCCGACCCATCAGGACCACCCCCTTGGCAGGTGCAGGATCCATGAAAACCTGGTCTTAGTCTTGGCAGAAAGCCCTCCCTGTATCCATCCATTCCAACTCAAGCATCCTGGTGACATTTGGATTGGAAATCTTTCTGCTCAGGGGTTATTTTTTTTGGAGTCTCTTTGGAAGCCCCGGAACCAAGGCTTGCTTCCGTAGACAGCCTCCCATCCTATCGCCACCATATAAGAGCACCGCCGCTCCCTGGAGATCGTGCAGACGAGCAAGGATTCCCTGAGCATCCTCCTCGGAACCTGTGAGTGTGGGCTTCCTCCCTATGACACTCCACACAGTGGTCTTTGGGAGGCTTTAAGGGCAAGAGTCGGAGGAATGGGGCTGCTTGAATTAGTCTCTATTTTGAAGATACCAAAGTTAGAGATACATCGATTATACTAAAAGAAGTGTCAGACTGATGAGCAATACAGGGTCAGGTGGTGGTGTCCACAATCTTTTTATACTTTTATTCAACAAATATGTATTCACTTCCTATACTGTACTGCGTGCAGGCTTTGTATTAGGACCTGGGGGTTCCGGTCCTTCCTCTAAGGAGTTCACAGCCTGGCAGGAGAGGCGGACAAGTCATCAGATAATTGGTACTCAGGACTGTGAAAGGAGAACACAGGCAGTAAGGCAGTGTACTGGGGTTCTCATCCTAGACTCTGGGGAGCATAGAGCAGGCTGCTTGAGGGCATGTGTCTTATTAAAGTCGGAGGGTTGGCAGGAATTGACTTAGGGGGAAAAGAGGAGAAAAGGAAAGCTGTAAGGCAGAGAAGGCAGAGTGTAGCAAGATCCTTGGTGTAAAGAACATGATCTTAGAGTCTAGTCTGACTTTTCAAATCCTAGCTCCTCTACCCACTGTCTGTGTGTCTCTGGGCAAGTTACTTTCGATTTCTCACCTTGGCTGCCCATCTGTGAAGAAGGAGATAACTACATCTACCTTAAAGAAATGTGAAGTGTAAGAGTGATGGGTGCTCATTGAAGAGTCCTTCCTCTGGACAATTCTCACCACTGTTCCTTTCATGTTGGTCTAGGTATCAGGACAAGATGTTTCAGCTTTGGAAACTTGTTCTCTTATGTGGTCTGCTCACTGGAACCTCAGCCTCTCTTCTTGATGGTCTTGGCGTGGGTAAAATTTTGGATGAGACGAAATCTATTGTCAATGTTGTTGACAATACAGTTGGAGGTGAGTCAAACAAGGTGATGATAGTGGCACCCGGGAGTTAGTCTCTTAAACACTATGCCTGCATTACCAGAGGCTGCCACCAGGTGCTGCCTTTTATGAGTCATTGACGGAGAAAGTTGGTTATTCAATTCCTGACTTATTCACTTATTTTTCTAGAAACAAGAAATGCTAAAATGAATACTCTTTCACATGTTATATCCTGATAAACTTTTGCCAATACATGCATGAAATAAATTTCTAAACGTGAGATTTCAAGTTCAAAAAGTATGCACATTAAAAATTATATTAGCTTGTTAGAAAAGTCATGATGCATGAAATATGTCATGGTTTTTCTGACTACCCAATGTCTTTTTTCCCACTCACTTGCCAACACTGCGTATAGACAGCTTTAAATGTTTTGCTAGTTTCATCAATGAAAGATTAACTTATAGCACATTACATTTTCTTTCATTACGAAGAAGTCCTCTGATTTTTTATATACTTACTACCATTATATATATATATATTTTGGAGAGATTTTGCTATAGGGCAGGTGTGCTCACCAGAAAGACAGAGAGAAAGAGACAGAAAGCGAGAAATCACCCCCCAGGGTGGTTGGCCACGCCACAATCCCTTCTCCTCCATTCTCCTCTGGGGATCTTGGGCATGCACGCACACATGCCCGATGTGAGTTTAAGCCACCAGGTCGAGTACTTGAACCGTGGTTGACTACATGGGAGTTCTGTGACATAGCCATTATGCTAACTGCTGGTTCCCCATTAACATATTTTAACTTAAGTATTTTATCTATTTTTTTAGCATGGTCTTCATATATATATACATATACATATATATACATATACATATATATTTAATTTTATTTATTCATTCATTTTTATTTGACCATACACACACACTCACACACATACACGCACACACACACATAGATAGAGAGAGAGAGAGCAAGCTACCAGATCTGGGACTTGAACCGTGGTTGGCATGTGGGAGTTTCCCGCCCCTTAACCACCATGCCACCTGCTGGTTCCCTGGCATGGTCTTCTTTTGAGTTGTTTAATTTTTCTCTTATTAGCTTGTGTTAACTCATCAGAAATTAAGGAAATAAGCCCTACTAATTGGGTAGTTATCTGTAAAGCTACCCGGCTTTTTATTCAATCATACCTTCTCTTTATGCCGTCTTGTTTAAAAAAAAAAAAAAAAAAAAAAAAAAAAAAAAAGCAGCTAGGTTTTCTCTATTTTCTGGGAACATTAACAGCACGTTGATAAACAATTTTACAGGAGGAGGTAACGTCTTTCAAACCTTCACAGTACTTAGGCAACTTTCAAAGATATGGAAAGGACGCACTCTCTAATTTCACAGCTGAGGCCGAGACAGAAGTGTCTGGATCGAGGTCACCTAGTGAATTATGTGACTAGACGTAGTTATATCACCTGTTTTATTTAAAGCAGCATTCTCTGAATCATTATAACTTGGCAGAGCCAAAAGGTAATACTATGGTCCCATCGCTGTTCTTCTAAGCTTTTGTTTTTCCTTGAGTTAGTAATTGCTTTGTTGCTTCTCACTTGAATTACTTTCTTTTTATTGCCAGAGGACACAGGCACTTGTGTGTGTGAGAGAGAGAAAGAGAGAACCCTGCAGTGGGGCAAGCTAACACGGCAGTCCTTTTTCCTCCATTTCTCCATCCCATCAGGATTTGGGGCACACATGCACACAAACCCAGCATGTTTTTCAAGCTATTGGGACTTGGATTCAAACCATGGTCGCCCATGTGGGACAGCACTTAACCACTATGCTCTAGGGCCAGCCCCCTCACTTGAATTATTTTCTACACAAATATCCTGAATTCTTTTCTTATGTGCCATCTTCCATCTGCCTTCTCATTTGTTCTGTCTCATTCTGCTGTTGACTGGAGAATTTCCTTTAGCACACTCTCTCCTTCCGCTCCTGCATGAATTATTGCTCTCTGGGTTTACTGTAAAGCTGTCATTCTGAGATACTCATTTGCCAGTTTCATGGATTGTGCCATATTTTTGTTTCCTAATTTGCTGTAGGGCACATATGTTCACGAGAGAGAAACAGAGAGAGAGCAGGAAAGTGAGAAAGCAATTTGTCAAGTCTGGGACTTGAACCATGATTGGCCATGTGAAAGTCCAGTGCCTTAACTACCACGCCACCTGCTGGCCTCCCTTGCCATAATTTTTACTCGATTTGGATTTTCCATTTCTTAGTTACTATTCTTATTTTGTTTGACGTAGTTTTTCTTTTATCTTTTTTTTTTTTTTTTAAATTCTATTCTTGACAGAGAGCACTTACATAAAGGAGAGAGAGAAGTACCCTCGACAGGGTCTTATCATGTCATGATCCCCTTTCCCATCCCTCTAGTTCATCAGGATCACGGGCACATGTACATACGACAGTGCATCTTCAGGGACATTCGAGGGATTCGAACCCTCAGTTAGCCATGCGCTTCCATCACTGCAATTCAGTTTACTACCAACTGTGCTTGCTAGCTGGGCCTCACCTAGTTTTTTAAACCAATGTCAGCATCTTGTTTAGACCAATAGATCCCCCACGTCCTTCCTAAAAGTTGGTGTACAATCAATATCAATTGCCTGGTCAATTTGATTGATTGCTTTGTTGATAAGTGGTCAATATATATTAGTCAGGAGGCAGCAAGAAAGGAACAAGGGTTTCCTGGCTGTGTGACTAGACAGATTTCTTAACCTTTTGAACCTCTATTTCCTCATCTGTAAAGTGCAGGTTAACAACAACATATAAAGATGAAATAAGATACCATAAGCAATGGTCTTATCTGGTACCTGGAGCTTAACACCTGCTTCATAAATAGTGCATGACATGAAATGCTGATTGGTTTTGACAGCCGTCGGTCAGAAGCTGAAGGACGAGTTGGCTGGCGTGCAGGGATTCCTCAACGAGAGGATCCAGGACGTTTTGAGCTTGGTGGGCAACAGCCTTCCTCAGATCCTTTCAACTGGCGAGAAGATATTGGAGTAAGTTTCTGCTTCATTTTGAGATCTTTCTTCCAATGAAAGGGAATAAATATCTTTGGGGAGGTAAGTTTAAGATCAAAGACAAATAGACAAGGCTTCTTCCTCCCCCACAGATGGAGGTGGTCTGAGGTGAGACCCACTAGAGGTTGAGTAAATTAGAGGCTACAGGGCAATCTGTGTATCTTGTGGGTTTGGGCTCCCATGACCTATAATTTCAGGGTCAGGGTGAAAGTTCCTTTCATCCACACCACCTATTTGCTGAAGCCTGAGCTCCCTTTTCCAAGCTGCAAAACATTTCTTCTGTAAGCATAGCTGGGGGTCAAAGTCCAAATTCCCTTAGGTGAAAGGAAACTAGAATACACGGAGTCATACGGTTCTGGGTTCAAATGCAGGCCCTGGCACTAATTTCCTTGAAATCTTGGGAAAACCACATCTGTCTGAGCCTGAGGATGCCATGTCATGAACTAGAATCAACCTCTGAACAGGGCTACTGTGGAAACTAAAGACAGTGAGGTGGATTGGAGCCAGATGGTGGTGTGGTGGAGAAAATACAATGCTCTGTGAGGCTGACTCACATGGGAAGGTTTTTAGGTGACATCTAGAGACCTCCCTGAATACGTAGGACATGTGCATACCCTTGATCCTGGCCTGGCTGAGGCTGGGGATACATTGTGATGTCAAGACCCTAGCGGAGGTACTCTGTATGTCTCTCTATCTCTGTGTCTCTCTGTCTCTTTCACTCATAAAAGAAATAAACTTTAAAAAAGAAAAAAAGGGACCAGCAGATGGTGTATGGTGTGGTGGAGAAAATACAATGCTTTGTGAGGCTGACTCACATGGGAAGGTTTTTAGGTGACATCTAGAGACCTCCCTGAATACGTAGGACATGTGCATACCCTTGATCCTGGCCTGGCTGAGGCTGGGGGTACATTGTGATGTCAAGACCCTACTGGAGGTACTCTATATGTCTCTCTATCTCTGTGTCTCTTTCTCTCATAAAAGAAATAAACTTTAAAAAAAGAAAAAAAGGGACCAGCAGATGGTGTAATGGTTATGTCACTGGACTCTCATGTAGTTGACCACAGTTCAAGTCCCAGATCTGGGGACTTAAAACTCATGCCGGGTGCATGTGTGTATGTGCCCAAAATCTCAAGAGGAAAATGGAGGAGAAGCGATGTGGTGTAGCCATCCCCTCTGGGGGGAGGGGAGGGTGATTTCTTGCTTTCTGTCTCTCTGTCTCTTTCTGTCTCTCTGGCAAACACAAGGGACCCTATCACAAAAATTTCTCTTAGAAACATAAATAAAAAGAAGAAAAGAAAAAGAAAGCAAGATCGGTGAGACCCACATATCAGCATAATAATACCATAAAGAAGTGCTCAGCAAATGTCTGTTAAGAGGAATAACAAGGGTTATTCCTCTTAATAATAACATGAATTGTGGTTTCTGTGCAGTATAAAGATATCCGACTCTGCTCTCCTGAATCCCAAATTTGAACCGACTGCTGATGGCAAAGGCATTAACGTGAGGTTCCCCATCAAGGCTCAAGTCTCTCTAGCCCTGTGAGTATGCGTTGGAATGTGAAATTTGGGGGAGGCACGGCAGCATAGCCAATGGATCCCTAACCTGGGAATCGGGAAACTTCCCATGCTACTGTGTGCCCTTGGGCCTCCATTTCCCAGTCTATAAGCTAGAGGAGCTTTCAAGGTCTAAAATCCAAATCTTTTAAATATCCTAGTGAAGTCTGGTCATAACTAAGTCTTTTTTAATAGAATGCTTCACTGAATATATTTTTGAAATTATAACATTTATCTATTCTAAAATTTGAAAAATTGAGAAGACACAAACATTTATCATTCTTTGACAAAACTTCCTCCAGCATAATTTTTGTTTCTCATAATTCTCTCTAAATAGCAGTGATCACAACAGACAAGCACATATAGTAGTATACACTACAAAAAGGGTATTATGTGAAATATAATTTTAAGATACTTCAATTTTCAAACAGAGACAGGGAAGTGAGCATATGTAAAAGAATTTCTATAAACTGAGTGCACGAAAGATAGCCTCACTCATTAGCTGTGAGATCTTGGGATAGTTACCTTCTCTGTTCCAAGGTTTCCTCATTCTGAAAATGGAGATAATAATAGTAATTTTCTCTCATAGCATTGTGATGATCCAATGAAATCATCCAGGTAAAATACTTCCCGAAAGTGCCTACATATGGGCCCAGCAGATGGCAGAGTAGTTACATCACTGAACTCCTACATGACTGACCATGGTTTGAGTCCCAAACCTGGTATCTTGAAATTCACACTGGGAGCATGTGCATGCATGCCCAAGATCCCAAGAGGAGAATGGAGGAGGAGGGATTGTGGTGTGGCCATCCCCTCTGGGGGGGGATTTCTCACTTTCCCTCTCACTGTCTCTGTCTCTCTCTCTCCAGCAAGCACATGTGCCCTATGGCAAAAACCTCTTTTAAAAAAATGCTTACATGTAAGTTGTGCTCAGTAAATGTTACCTATCGTTATTTTAATTAGCATAGGCTGTATACAAATTTCACATGAATTAAACTCCTGTGAAGAAACTCAGGAGAAGAAAGAAGCCCTTCATATAAATATGTAAATTCCATAAAGAATATGAAACCATCTTTTTTAGTTTCCACATATATGTAAAAACATGCAATGATTTTTTTTTTCTAAACCTGGCCTATTTTGCTTAGGTGAAATATTCTCCAGACTCACCCACATTTTCTCAAATAATAGGATTTTATTCTTTTTAATGACTGAATAATAGTTCATTGTCCATATACCATATTTTCTTTATCCGTTTGTCCATTGATGGACACTTAGGTAGATTCCATGTCTTAGCTATTGTGAATAGCACTGCAATAAATGTTAGCGTGCGGATATCTCTACAATATACATATTTCCTTACCTTTCGGTTTATGCCTTGTAGTAGGATTGTTGGTTCATGTGACAGTTCTATTTTTAGTTTTTTGAGAAATCTTCATAATGATTCTATAATGGCTATACTAATTTGCATTTCCACAGTGTAAGGAGTTCCTCTTTTTCTATATCCTTGCCAGCATTTGTTTTTGTCTTTTTAATAATAGCCATGGGACCAGCAGTTCGCATAATGGCTATGTCGCTGGACTCCCATATAGTTGACCGCGGTTCGCATCCCGGACCCAGTGACTTAAAACTCATGCCAGGCACGTGTGCATGTGTGCCCAAGATCCCGAGAGGAGAATGGAGGAGAAGGGATTGTGGTGTGACCATCCCCCCTGGGAGGGTGATTTCTCGCTTTCTCTCTCTCTGTCTCTCTCTGTCTGTCTGGCGAGTGTACGCGCCCTATAGCAAATAAAAACAAACAAAGAAACAAACAAACAAAAAAACTCTCCAAAAATAAATAAATATATAATAGCCATTATAACTGGGGTGAGATGATACACCAGCATGGCTTTGTTTTGCATTTTCCTGGTCATTAGTGATGGTGAACATTTCTTCCTATGCTTGCTACCCATTCGTTCATCTTTTAAGAAATGTCCGTTAAGGTCATTTGCCCATTTTATTAATTGGATTTTTTTGTTTTTTGTTGCTGAGTTGTTGGAATCCATTGTATATTCTGGTTATTAATCCCTTGTCAGAGGTGTAGTAGGCAAATATTTTCTCTCAATCTGTAAGTTGTCTCTTCACTCTGTTGATTGTTTCCCTTGCTGTGCAGAAACGTTTTCATCTCACTCATATGTGGAAACTAAAACCAATCTCATAGAAGCAGAGAATAGAATAGTGATTACTAGAGGTTGAAAAGAGTAGTGGGAAGGGGAAATAGATGTTGATTAACAAATATAAGATTAAAAATAAGAGCAACAAATTCTAGTGTTATATAGTACACTAAGATAATGACAGTCACCATTATTGTTTATCTCAGATTAGATGAAAGAGAGAACTTTGACTATTCCAACACAAAAAAATGACAAATATGTGAGATGATAATTATGCTAATCACATTCATTTGATCATTACACATTCTTATACTGAAAAATTACACTATACCCCATAAATACATGTAAGTATTATGTGTCATTAATAATGCTTTTAAAAATAAAATGAAAAATAGCTTTAAAAAAACATGGGCAATGTTAGCATTACCCAGAGACATCCTGGATAATGTCTAAACAGTAGAGTAACCCAAGCAGGCACCACGTGGGGCCTTCTAGACCTCGGCTCACTGGGAATCTTGTTTCCTGCAGGCCTTTGACTGGTGAGGTCCTCGACCTGAAGGTCTCCTTGGACCTCTTATCTGGAGTCAAAGTGGTAGCTGATCCCAAGACTGGTGTCTCCAAGGTGGTCTTGGGAGAATGCATCAGGGACCCAGCCAGCATCTCAGTCTCTTTGCTGGACAGGTAAGGTCCATCCATCTTAGTAGAACAAGGCTCTCAGGAAGAGTTGAGGACCCTCCTAATTCCAGCCCTATTCTTCCATCTGGGAAGTTGCATAATGAAGTAAAAGAGTTTAAGCTCTGGAATCAGTCTGACTTTGTTCAAATATAAGCCCTACACTAATATACAACTTTACAACTAGCTTAATCTCTCTAAGCCTCAGTTTTCACATCTGTAAACTAGGGAATAATAATATTACCTACTCATGGGCTTCTGAAATGACCAAATGAGAAACTACAAATGTTTAGGGTAAAGCCTGGAACATACTAAGTTCTCAGTCATAGCAATATTCATGTTGACGGTCTATCTACTGATTCTCTTCATAACTCAGGCAGGAGTGAGTTTATCTCTCCAGACATAATCAAAAACTTGCCTGTTTTGTCTTTTGGCTCTATCAGCTTTTGCTTCATGCTTTTGAAACTCTTTTGTTACATACACATTTAGGATTATTACGTCTTCTTGGAGAATTGACACCTATGTCATTAAATAATATTCTTCAATAATAAGAAAATTGTATTTACCTTCTTGCCTCCAGTTGGGAGAAGAGGGATTAAATGCTTACCATGGGTTCTAATTTTAGATCATCTCTAAATCATTCTTCACCGTCTGGAAAATTCCTGAAATGAGATCTTAAAAACTTAATCTTCTCCACTTACATCATTGATCCCTGTTAATCCACAAAATCTACACCTTAAACCGTGTGCTTGAAAGAGGAGGTTTAGCCCAGGCAAAGAGGTGAAGGTGGAAAGGGTGACCCTGGCCAGTGACTGGGAGAGGACAAATGGTCTGCAAGCTGAGGGTTGGGGCTGAATGACCTGGGCCAGGATCAAAGTTGGGTCCTTAGCTCTCAGCCCTGAGGGTCATAAGCAGAGGTCACTGCCATCTCTCTCCACAGAAGGATCTGCTCACAGGTTGTCCAAAGACTTCCTAAAACCAAAGGAAGTCTCCACAACCTGAGGGTAGTTAAAAAGGCTGGAGTGCAAATTCAGAGGCCTGAGCCCTGCTGACACTGCCTTGCCATGCAGCAATCCTGGGGCATTCATCCTGCTGCTCTGAGTCTGTGTCCACATATGTAAAATGGCACCACTCTGGTGCTGCAAACGCTTTCAGTTCTTTTCTTTGTATCTGGATCTAATCCCAGGTGTTCCCCCAAGTTGTGCAGGCTCTGCTTGTTCTGCCCCACCCTACACCCCTGCACTTTTTCCTCACTTAACTTGGCTGCAGATACATTTTCTCTATGCCTTAGACGAGCTCTTTCCTATCTTGAGACCTTTGCACAGGCTGCTCTGGTTACCCAGACACCTTTTCCTCATTCAGTCTCAATGTACCTTCTCAAACTTCAGGGTCTTGTACAGGTCCCTCCTTATCTCTCTTGTAAGAGTCTACATACCCTTGTGCTTCAGGGTATTGCCTCGAGTTGTTGCTATATATCTAATTGTATGTTTACTTCATTCATTCTTCCAGTTGAAATTGTATTGAGCATCTGATATGTTCCAGGCAGGCACTGTTCTGAGCTCTGGGGAACTGACTGTTGATAGTGGACAAGTCCCCAGGCTCCTGTAGCTTATCCTGAGAGAAAGGTGGGCAGAGAAGCATTGAGTTCATCAACAAAGAATCCTCCACAAAAGTCCTGTACAGAGTGTTACACTTCACAGAACATTAGGACAGCAAAACCTCCCCCTAGACAAGCAATCAGAAGAGCTGTCCTGGGGAGGTGACGATTACACTGAGAATTGAAGGTAGGGGAAGTCAGCCTTGGCAAGATTTAGTTGTGAGGTTCAAGGTTAGGAGCTATTTGTAACGTGTTCATCCAGGTGCTCCCAAAGCCCTATGTGTTTGGCACAGAGAGCTCTGTAAATAGTGGTTGAGTGAATGAATAAAGTCTCTGGATTATGATAGCACGTAAGCGACATTGGTCAGGTGTAGGATTCTAAGAGATGAGCCATCTGGACAGAGACTCCATCTGTAGTTAGAAAGGCACGTCATGTCCCTGGGGTGTACTTGACTTCAGCGTGTTCTACCTCACCTGCATCACCATCACCATCACCACCACTTGGCAATTCTGGGCACTCAACTGGCCTTGTCTTTTCCAAATACAGCAAAACACTCAACAGGGTTTTGAAAGTTGTGACCACCCCCGTGCAAAATGCTGTATCCCTCCTGGTGCAGAACGTGGTGAGTTTCCATTTCTTGGGGTCCCAAGTCAGGCCTGGTGGAGGGCAAGGGTGGCATGGGCAGGCTCGTCCTTCTGAGGTGCGACCTTCTTTCTGAGGGGTCACCTGGAGCCTCTCCTCCATGGTTCAGGCTTTGTGAGGAGGGAAGAGGAGCAGAGGCCTGACATCGGCTGAAATCGCTAGGTCCCAAAGAGCCACTTGCCATGTCTATGCACCACCAATAATGCCCTGTTAGCTATTGTTTTATTTTAGTCAACACAATTTTACTTAAATAAATGTAAGTGCATTTATTTTTTAAAGGGAAACTATATCCCTATCATAAATAGATATATCACTTACCATAGAGTTAATTGAAAAAATAAATACAGACCTATAAAATAATTTTGTTTTGGTTTTATTTATCTTTTTTTTTCCATCTGGGTAGCACCCAGAATCATAGATATCACCTACAGATTCATGAGATTCCGGAGATTCTAAATTAGTCATTCTGGAAGGGGGGGGCCAAGAATCAGGGTTTATAACAGAAAAATCCTCTGGCTAGCTCTGTGACCCCCTGAAGTGACACCTCGGTATTCCAAGTGTGGTCCTCTGAGCAGTTCAGCCTCACTTGGACACTTTTTACCAATGTGGAATCTTGGGCCCCACCTGCTCAGTCAGAACCTGGGGATGAGGGGGAGACTCAATGCACAAAAAAGCCTTATGAGCTCTGCTGTATGGTCCCCAGGGCCCCTTCCACCCCCTACAATTCCAGGGTTACAAATTCAAGGTTTCTGAGGGGATGGGGATATTAATGTTCTAGATGCTAGACTCTTAAGATCCTAGAATTCTAATGCTCTAAGGTTTTAGAATTCTAATATCTTAAGGTTGTCAGATTTTAGACTGCTGGGATTCTGCTGTTCTAAAATCCTGAGGTTCACTGGTTCTAGGATCCCTAGAGATATATCTCTATGTGGATGGCGGGTAGCTGAGAATGACCCATCCTTTCTCCTTCTCCTCTCCCTTCTCTCCGTCCTCTCTCTCCTCTCCACCCCTTGCTCGGGCTGTCAGGTGTGCCCAGTGATCCATTCCATCATCAACGCCGTGAGCGTGGATGGTATTCAGCAGGCAATAGGTAAGTCACGGCTGGGGGAAGGGGAGCTTTCCCAGAGCGGCCATGCAACTCTGTGCCCAACTCGCAAAGTGTTTTGTCAAGGGACCTTGGGCAAGCACATTGGGATCAGCCACTGGGGGCTCTCTTTGGCCTTTAGGTCTCCAGGCATGGCCCAAGTGGCTAGGGCAGTGAAAATGCGGTAGAGGAAGGTGTCAGGGCCCTGGAGGGTCTTATGTCAAAATGACCACAAGTCCAGTTGTTCGGAATCACTCTGTGCTCTGCGCACACACTCTCACTAGATCCTTGTAACGAACCTGTTGGTGGGTGCTGCCATGGCGCCCATCTTACAGATGCACAAACTGAGGCTCAGGGATGTGGAGTCACACACCTGAGGTCCCACCGCTGTCAGGCTGACCCGTGGGAGAATGGCAGCTCTTGAATATGATCGCTATTCCATTTCTCTATAGCAGAGACTAAGATCTGCTGTGATTTGTCCCTTCAGCTCAACTTCAGCGGGGAAGCAACGTGCAAACCCTGGTCTGAAGAGGATGGATAAGGATCCACTGTGATGCCCACCTGCTGGTGAGGGACAGTCTCTGTGCCCACACAAACAGTGGCCTGTGGTGAAGCGAAGCAAGGGGTGGTTCCTCTTTTTCCAGCAGCAGACTAAGCTCTTGTCCCAGTCATTGACTGAGCCCTGACCCTAGTCCCAGCTTGAGCCCTGATTTGGGCTACAGTCTGAACCCTAATCCTTAATTGCACACATAGGCTGAGCTCCGATTCTGGCCCTAGACTAAGCTTTGATGCCAGTTATTGACTGAACCCCAACCTTGATCTTAGACTGATCATAACCCTGTCCACACACTGCACTGCAACGCTGGCTCCAGTCATGGCCTCCAATCAATCTTTCCGCACCTCCCGTTGTTCCCCAAGCCAGTATCACATAGGTTACGGGTCCCCTCTCCCAGGCCTCGGGCAGCCCAAGGTGCTGTGGGGTGAGCCAGCACAGGAGAGCCAGGCAACGTGCACCAACCAAGCGTCCCGGGAGTGGAGCTGCCTGTAAGGACAGCCACTGCTGCAAGCATCCTAATGCCCTGTGCTTTCACTCCAGGTTGGCGCCCAGCTGTTTGACCATGCTCCCATGTAGCGTGTCTCCCTGGGAGGTGCCACCATCCAACCTGAGCCCAGCCAGAAGGACCTTCCCAGTTGCCCCCTTCTCCTCACAGTGGAAAAAGCAGCCTGACACCTGTTATCCCACCCTTGGGAATAAAAACTCACTGTTGCACCCCTGCCCCGTATGGCCTCTTGCATCCCCTCCACTGGGACTTGGTGGGGTCAGTGGAGACCTGGAATCAGAGCTGGAAGGGACATTTGAGAATATCCAGACCTACTTCCTTGTTTTACAAATAGGACACTGAGACCCAGAGAGGGCAGGAAACTGGCCTGGGCCCCGCAGTCAATCCGCGGCATTGGCAGAACTCCCGAGTCACCCAGTCACACATTCAGTGGGTACTTAGTGAGGACATACTCTGTGCCTGGCTGGCAGTGGGAACTGACAGTCACTCTGCAGCTGACCCCCCCAGGGCATTCATCCACTCCTCTCAGGACCCTGAGGACTCATGAAGAACCAGGGATACTTAGTCTGACCAGACTCAGAGCCCTGCGGCCCATCTCCACCTGCTTTTCCCCACCCACTGCAGAGCTAGGGTTCCAGTGGAGCTGAGAGCACCCTGGCTTTGGCCCCCTGGGATCATTCAACCCTCTCATCAGAGCTAACAGCCTGTGCACCCATCTGCGAGGCTGCACAAAGGACTGGCTTCCCTGCTGAGGTCAAGGACCCTGAGGTTGCTCACATGTATCATGGAGATCAGTCCCTCCCTCCACCCAGGGCCCCTCCAGCCATACCCCAGAACTAGCTCCACCACCATCACACTGCTTACAATAACACTGCCACTGTATGGAGGGGGGCCTTTATGCCCACACATGTGACCTTATTAATTCCTCACTACACCCTATCAGATCTGGTCTATATTAAAAGCATGATAATAATGGGGTCTCCCTAAACCAGAAAACACTTGACAGGTGAGGAAACTGAGGTTCATAAAGGCAAAGTGACTCCTCCAGATCACATCATGGGCAAGTGGCAGAGCTGGGATTTGAACCCATGGCTATGGGACCCCAGACTTTATTCTATTCATATATATAAAAAGTATGTAAAACCACTTACGTTTGAAGATAGTTCACTGAGCGAGACAGGTTTTAGAACTAGACCGCATTTCTGACCATTCAGAATATCCGACCTACCATGTGTGCAGGTTACACTTGCAACCAGAGGAAAAGAAGTGACATACAAATCAAAGAAGTGACAGCATATAGCATTCTCCCTCTGTGAACCTGGCACCCCAGAACCACCTCTGGGTCCTTTCCTACCAGCCCAGACCTCAAAGGAGGGTGAGGGCTTCCTGGAAATAGTGATGACCATGAAGGACGAGTTGGGGTAGAGTGAGCTTTAAGGGAGTGAGAGGAGTCTGCTGTAAGAGGACAGGTGGGAAGAAAGAAGGCAAACCTGTGTGGTCATTGAGTCATCCAGAAACTGGAGCACCAAAGCCTTGACTACGGTTGGTGTTTGCCTTATGGTCATGATCTCAGCAGTTGGCAGCCTATAAAACCTTCCTCATTGAGCTCTGTGATGGTTAAGAAAAAGCTAATGAGTGGAAAGTTTAATTTGGGCCTGACACCGAGTAAGCCCATGATGAATGTTAGCCTCTGCACACTGAAATCACTGTCTACCACCCTCACATTTGTTGACTGATGAAAAGACCGATAGGGAGAAATTGTAGCCCAGGGAGTTCCTGGGTTTCCACCTTGTCTCTGTGAAGACTGCTAACTGTCCTCCAGAATTCTTTCTTCTCTTCACTCCCCAGGTTTTAATTGGGCACATGGTTCCCCGGCCAGACAATATCTCCCAGCTTCCCTTGCAGCTAAGTGTGACCATGTAACCAAGGTCTGGCTCTTATGAGAGAAAGGAGTCAACTTGTTCATTTAAGCCACCATGTTTTGGGGTCCCCTTAATCAGGCTGTTTTTCCCTTTTGTATGTAATCCACCCTGCCATTGATGTGCTATTTGACAGTAGCTATTAACTGCTCCTCCCTGAGCCCTGGTTCTCCACCTGCACAGTCATCATGGAAGGCTCTTCCAGTTCCAGCAGGATTCAAGTTAACATTTCTTTCAGGGGTGAAGGGAAAGGAGACAATAAACATTTATTCAGTTTCTACTACACTCCAGGCACTGTATTAGACCAGGAGACCTCAGCCTGAACTGAGTTTGCCCTCCAAGGGACATTTGGGGATGTCTGGATTTTTTTTTTTTTTTTTTTTTTTAGTTTTACTGTTGGGCATATACACTCACCAGAGACAGAGAAAAAGAGAGAGAAATCACTCCCCAGGGGGAATGGCCACACCGCAGTCCTTTCCACTCCATTCTCCTCTAGGTATTTTGGGCACGCATGCACATACACCTGTTATGTTTTTTAAGCTGCTGGGTCTGGGACTCAAACCGTAGTTGGCCATGTGTGATCCAGCCACTTTTACCATCACACCACCTGCTGGCTTGTCTGGGAATTTTTTTTTTTTTTTTGGAGAGGTTTTCGCTATAGGGCACGTGCGCTCGCCAGACAGACAGACAGAGACATAGAGACAGAAAGCGAGAAATCACCCCCCAGAGGGGATGGTCACGCCGCAATCCCTTCTCCTCCATTCTCCTCTCAGGATCTTGGGCATGCATGCACACATGCACGGCATGAGTTCTAAGCCACAGGGTCGGGGATGCGAACCGTAGTCAACTACGTGGGAGTCCAGCGACATAGCCATTACATTAACTGCTGGTTCTCTGGGAATGTTTTTAATGATCACAAATTGGGCAATGGGAGGGAATGCTACTGATATCTCCTGGCAGAGGCCAAGATGCTGCCAGCATTTATATTGACCTATAAATCCTGTAATGTGCAGGACTGCCCTTACAATGCAGAACCATCTGGTCTGAAATGTCAATAATATTGAGAAGCCCTGTGTAAGATCTCATGAATCCTGGCTTTTGCTGAGTAATTCAGTGAATGATTCTTTGAGTAGTTGTGGCAACTGAGGCTCAGAAAGGCAAAGCAACTTGCCTGAAGCCACATGATTGGTCAAAGGCGAAGCTGGCTTTAATCCGAAATCAGCTTCTTCCATAGCTAGTACTTCCCCTGCTAGCCGAGGAAGGGGAATGATTTCTCTCTATATATCTCCTGGGAATCCCACACCCCACAGAAAATACACAAGGAGGGGCTCAAAATTCAGGGCTTCTCTGGGGCACTCACCAACTTGGGTCAGTGCCAAGCCTTAGTCCAAGCTGATCTGCCCACCCAGATACCTTTTCTTCTCCTTCTCCAGCTAACTAAATCCTCCCCAACCCTCAAGACTCTGCTCAGAATTCACCCCAGGGTAAGCGGGGACCTTGCCTAAAGATTTCCCCCAAAAAGATATTGTATTTCCCAACTCATAGGTCTAACCAAGCTACCCTATCCTTACTGTCCAATACACAGCAAACACTCAGAAATTGCCAGCTCTTGAGAACCAGAGGCCACATGTAGATCTTTCCTTTTGTAGCCTTCACCAGAGTGGCAGTGACCAAAATGAAGCTCAGTCTTTTTATGACATCTGACCAAAGCAAGAAACTCATAATGTGTTTCAATATACCTTTGCACATTTGCAAGAGGATTGTCTTCCCCTCTTTCCAAAGAGCTGAGGAAGAATCCATGCCCATCTAAAAGGATGACAAAGTTCAGGCTGTGTGAGGACATTACAAAGGTCAGCAAACTGTCAAAGCAGTCCAAGTTTACAGGAGAAATATGTCATCTGCACTGAGCAGATGCAGCAGGAGACAGCTAATGGCACCACTGTCCATGTGGGCATTCACCCAGCAAGGTGGTCCCCACTAGACTGAAACTACACAAAGACCACAAAAAGATCCTTGAATGGAAAGCTGAACCTCACCAAGTAGGAATGGAAAGGGGCAAATGCCGGGGTCCAGCCTCGGCAGGGGTGGGTTCTCTCATCGGAGGAAGGCGACGTGGGTGAACAAAATTAGACTGAAACCTCAATGCCCCTTAGCATATTCTCAGCCGGCTACAGCCAGAGCAAGCTCAGGACTGCAG